CCCACATTTTATGAATGTGACAACTTGATCTGTCGATAATATTTCTTCCTCTCTGTCTTTTTGACGCACATGAGTTCTCGTCTTTGATTTTTCTTTTGTTTTATGTATGATTGTTAATGTGTGTTTTATTCTCTTATTCTTGTAGGAAGATGAACCTAGACGACCATGGGGTGTTCGAGGTCAGTCTATCACATGTCATACGGATTTCACGGATGATAACATCATCGAACAGGTCACAGATCTGCTTCCATCTATGCGCATTCCTCTCGAACAGTCTACCTTAAAAGCCAGCTCACCGCCGAGAAATACGCGAAAACGCAAGGTGCACGCCCCAAATCTCCGAACCGTGGAACCGGGATGTTCGGTCGAATCTTCCAGATTGGATGAAATTGAAAACAAGATTGACTGGACTGGACCTGTGCCGACCTATGCAGAACCGGATCAAAGATTGGATGATCTGGTGCAAAACTGTTCCTTCTTGGAGCCGCACACATCCCTGCAGTTCACTCCGATGCGTCAACGGTACACAGAGGCAGAAGGTGTCGATGTTGATGCGGTCACCGAAGAAATGGGCGTCGATCTACACACCTCACCGGTTGATTACGTCAAACCACTGGAGTCCGCTACAGTGGTTGATGAACCTGCGTCCGACAATCCGCCCTCTGCGATGACTGTATCGCTCTACGATCCTGTTTCGCCTAGTCGTAAACCTCGACGTGGTCGAACTTCAAGTGGGACAAGTTTGTTGGTGGCTCACGCTCGTTCTTCTCCCCCGGTACAGCTTCCATCGTCTATGAACATACAGGAACATCCGTGTAAAACACTGACAAAGAAAACCACTTTTGAGTCACCCACTTATTCTCAGTGTTCGATAGCCAGTGATCCGATGGAGCTCGTCTCTCACGGTTTTGTCGATCCAATCCAATCACCTTCATCGTGTGATGGAGATCACTCAAAGCGGATCCGTGGATCTCCAATGTCTGCACATCATTCTGGTTCGCTGCCTTTGGATACGGAGAGGATTCGACCACTCAGTCCCTCGTCATCTGACTCAGCAACCAAGCACCATCTTGTGATTAAACGGCCAAACACTCTAATTCCCACCAACACTGGGGTGGTTACTGTATCACAGGGCTTACAGTCTGGTCAGCAACGTCCACTACCAGTTATGCGGGTCAAAATACCAACCCACTACGCGCGATTCGGCAAATTCCAAACACGATTCACTTCTTCGTCATCCGCCTCGTCTGGCTTCGAAGCAGTGACCCAAATCGCTGCGCACCGTTCTTTGTCCACTTCCAATCTGTCTGGTGTGTCTCCAGGTTCACCGAAAACAACAACCGTGGCACCTTCAGGGACAGATACCGGCCCAGTCCCTATACAACTTGGTCGTTTTCAATCGCCCGTACTCAAGTTTCACAAGAATTTCACTAGCAAACGACAAAGTCTGAGCGCTGAAGATCTGACCCGATTAATCAGGCAACCTAAGGTCAGTTTTCTGGTGCCAACATGTGCACTGGAAGTCCCGGGACAAGAGGAGACCGAGACTGTTTCGGTTATTGTACCCAAATCACCTATGCTATCCTCATCCCAGTCGTTCCCCGGTAAAGGATCTGCTTCATCTCTTCATTCCCCACCGACGGATTCTGTGGCCGAGGCCAAAATCACTCGTTCACCTCAGGCGCTGAATCGACTGGGACTCTCTCGTCACTCGAACTCGTTACCAGAACCCGTCAGTTCACGAAGAATGGATCAGATCGGAACGACAACCCAACGCAGTCCAGCAAACATCACTCCTGTGGTGTATCACAAACTGATGACACGTACCTCACTGTTTTCCTCAGTGACTTATCCGTGGACAGAAATGGTCAGTTTCCCCGATTAGAATGGAGCTATTTTTGTTTTTCGTCGTTTGTATATTTTTCGCTCTGATACTTTATTAGGGAAGAAATGATTTTAGAATACATGGACTGAAAACGTAAATGAGATCAAGCGAAGCTGGTGATCGCTGAAATTCACCGAAATAGCTTACGACATTGTTGCTTATGTTATATATTCACAGTATTAGAATTATCTCTGTCAACGTATTGACAGCTCAGTGCACACATTCAGATGGAACTGGTTCTTTCTGCTTTTTTTCTCCAAAAACTTCACCATGTAGTGTCAGTTTTTGTGGTCAGAATTTTGACCTCGGTAAAGTCAGTCGGGTGAAATGTGGAAAGATAGGCAACACCGTCGAACATTTTATTAGGGAAAATTAAATCTACGTAATTATTAGTATCATGCCCAGAACAAGCGAAGCACGAACTGAAAACCTCGGAAAACCTGTGTTGGTTTGTTTCGTCGACAATGGAAATCTAGCGATCGAACACGGGACGTCACAGGTAGATCGGAAGCATACTGTCTTCTCTACCACCGGTCAGCTAGCAGGTCAGATTGTTTCGCTTTTTCTATACCAGATAGAGCACCTTTGTAAACCACCAACCTAGCTCATTTTAGCACTGGCGTTTGATTGTACAATGTAACAGTTCATGCTTCCTTTGCTTTATCGGCGCACGAAAGTGTATGGTCAATGGTTGTACAAACTGAACTGAACTGATCTGTTTGCTGGCATCGAAATGATTCTACGCTTATTCACATCACTCTCATTCTAACGTATTACAGGTTCCAATCGAGCGGACTTGGTTAAACAGCTTGAAAAAGCTTGGTCTCGACGAAAGCAGCAATGATACCATGGACCAGCTGACTTCTGCGCTGTCTGATTTACCTTCCGTGTTTTCTGCTCTGGCTTTGCGATGTCAAAATGGTGTACGAGCCGCTCTGAATCTGGCCGGTTTCTCTTGGGACGAAGCGAGTGAAACGACCCGTCTTAGTACGTCCTGTGTGATAAGTCATTTGCGGATTGAACTTGAAGGCAGGTTTCTCATTCACGAAACACAGCGGTTGTCTGTTCGAAGTCAATAATCTCAAGTTTACAAGTCAGTCTAAGCGTGTTTGTATCACTGGTCGTCTAAAGGTACAACGTGACTGATAGATCGTTATACCGTAATCCAGATATCGTTATGCGGAGACTTTTTTAAGTTTGTCTAATTAATTCACTGTGCTGTTCATCCAATCATCTGATCAGGGACCTTCTGTTGTTTTTTGGCAGTTTCTGTATCGGAATTACTCACTACCACTGTACGACCACCCTACTTGTTGTACACATTGAAGAAACCGGTAAGTTCACTGTGGTCAAAATTTTCGATTCTCGTTATATTTTCCATTGTTTGTTGAGTATTCACTTCTGATAAATTCAGAGCTGATTTTTTTTTTTGGGGGGGGGGGTTGCAGTTCGACTGACCGGGTGCCCACCAAAGTCTATGTATGTCGTCCATCCATCTGTCGTTATTCCGCAACAGCGGGGGTCTATTATTCTGCTCACAACTGTACTACGTTGAAACACACTGCCAGCAAATCTCTCGGTCGCCGAGTGTTGTTGTTTTCCTTCCCGTAGCTGGGATTCAGCACCATTCGGTTGCAAAATCGGTCGCTGAATTGAGCAACTTGATCCTAGTTAAGTTTCATCAGCTGGATAATATTGTACAGGACTAAATTTGCAGACCATCAAAGTGGGAATTGCGTGTCAGTTAGAAGGGTTGTCAACACCCATAAAATTGAGTATAACAACACGACTCATTTGTGCTTCATAATGGACTAATTCTGACCGCTTTCTTGTGGGTCAATGTGCGATCTCTATACCAGTCGATTGATCGCACAGGCATCATGTGATTATCAAATTCTGGGAGCAATTCACACAGCATTACCAAGATTTTTACACATTCGTCAATCAACCCATCCAAACTGACCTGATCTAATTCTAGTCTGGTGTGAACTGAATACTTTTGGGCAAATTTCCACTTTTGCTTTGATTTAATGAATTTATGGGAATTACGGAAACTACGAATTGACGGTAATAATCTATCTGTAGGTTCACTCCTGAAACTATTCAGTATAAAGTATATGTATAAAGTTTCCTAAGTTTGTGAATAAACTCTTTCTGGATATTTATTTGAAGAAACCGCATCTAATTGAGACGTTTAATGGTTCAATTCTGCAGCAATGTCGCTGTATCCCTTCAGGTAATTTATTAGTTTTTCTATGTTCATAACTTATCTCGAATACGCATTGATCCTGAAAAAATCGAACTATACTAGCGTTGAACAAATAACATAACACCAAGGCAATGTCTAGACTGATGTATATCTCCTCCTGCTGACGCATCAGGGGCTTCCGGCGCTTGATTGCTACGACCTCTGCAAATCTTAGCAGTCGTCCCTTCGGGGTTGTGAGAACAGCTCATCGAAAATCTACGTGAACCGGTCAGTATATACCTTTGAGAGTTTTGCTCCCATTCAACATAAACGAGGTCTCGTGCGTACCCCATTTGGCCGATCTAGGAGGCTGTATACTTCGGATTATGTAGAAAGTGAACTAATTCGACTTACGGAAGCTCATAAGCTCAATGCTTACTCAGCGAGGTTTATACAACGGCACAGTGTAAAAGCCGGGCCCAAGAAATTCGGGGATGGTTGCATCAAAATGTGACACTCTCATTCAACTTCCGTATTAAGATAGATGAATGCTTAGGCCAACTCGTATGAAGACAGCTTGTGGCGACTGAAGATCTCACTTATTTTGATGCAAATCCAGTCGTTCGCTTCACCACAATCCAGATTCCGAGGCCCTTGATGAAATCACTACTCCCTCTATTTATCAAGTCCCACGTAATATATGATTTTCAATGTAGATGCTGGGCCACCTAAGTGGGTAGAAAAGAGGCAACAGTGTACCCGAGTGATCAAGCACATGGACGGCTGCTAAGATTTGCAGATGCCATAGAAATCAAGCACCGGAAGCCCCTGCTGTGTTAGCAAGAGATCTACATCAGTTTGGCCATTGCCTTGGCAACCACGTAAGCGGAAGAGTGAATCGATGCCATGTGTGACCCAAGTGTCAGTCGCAGTAGATCAATGATGAAATTGACCACACATTTCCGCTTAACTGCCTTGGTGGCAATTCTCCCATTTGCAGCCTGCAAATCATCACTTACCGTAGACGTGTACGATCTTCCGACTCTTTTCGCTCCGATCGGACAGTCCACAATTAATGGCAGATTCGAGACTTAGCGATGATATAAAGACCTTATAGTAGGTTATGCGAATTTTTTTATCACAGACCTTCGTGTGAGGAACAGCAGATGAGGTAAACCCCATAGTCACGAGGACCTGCCGTTCTGTGATGGAAACCGGTAACCTAAGCCCCTAAGACTTGGAAGGGTGAACCACATA